CACCTAACTTTGGTTTGGATGCAAACATCACCGATTCCCACAATCTTTGAAAAACTGGAGTTACCCATCTTTACTGTACCAAAATCTCCAGCTTGGTATGTACAGAAAAACTCCTTTCGGGATGTGGCGTGGTAGGAAGCTGCTGTATCTACCACCACTCGATGTCGTTGTTCGATATATGGAGACATTATTCTTCTCCAACAGAGAATAATGCAATATTCTTTGAGACAGTAACTGCAGTGTTCCCATCTTCAGTCTTTGGCTGTCTATTGCATTGTTTTTGTTCTCCCTTCAAGGCATAGCAATATTTCTTTATGTGACCCTCCTGGCCATAATGGTAACACTTGAACTTCGGTCGGCTTGTACCTTCTTTGGATTTCCCTCTATCTTGAAATCTTCCTTTGCTGCGTCCTCTGCTTTTGCTTCTTCCTTTGTCCCTGCCTCTACCTTTATTTTCTGTGACAAGGGCATGGAATTGATCTCCACCCAAGTCTTTCTGCCTTGTCTTTTCATTGTACATGGCGTTTGTAACCATGCTCATGGTTAGCTTCACTTCTGGTGCAGAGTTGCTAAGAGAAACCACCAACGTCTCTCAGCTCTTCGGTAAAGAACTGAGTAGTAAAATGGCTTGCATTTCATCGTCCAAACGCATCTTGACGGTTGCAAGCTAATTCACCAGATTTTTAAATTCACTAGTGTGCTCGGCGACAGACATACCATTCTTCAACTTTAGATTTACAAGCCTTCTCATCACCAAGGCTTTGTTCCGAATGGTCCTTGATCGGTACATGTCGTCTAACATTGTCCATAGAGAATAGGCATCTGTCTCCTCGACGACATGATGGTGCATACATGGTCTATCCATTGTCTGATACAACCGATAGTCTTACGGTTCATCTTTATCTAGTCATCATCTTGCACTTCTTCAGGTTCAACCCCTTTTACAAAAATAAGGTCAAATAGGTCTTTAAAACAAAAATAAGGTTCAACCCCTTTCGAGCAACTTGATTTTTGGCAGTTTCAAAAAAATGCACTCTGTTTTTCCAAAATGCAACCAATTCGACTCTGATACCACTTGTTGGGACTGTGAGACACCTGAAATCAATCACACACAATAACACAAGAATATTTACGTGGTTCAGCAATTGTCTACGTCCACGGAGGGCTATCCACTATAGAATTTCCCTGAGGGAGATTACAACTTACACGTCACAAACACTCTCTATAGCACTCTCATTCACACTTGTTACTCACTGCCCTCTCAGATTACACACACTGCAATCTTTTCTTATTCAGCTCCTCCTCCTCACCTCATTTATACACAATGAGGGAGGTTATGATTGGTCACCACTTACCCCTTCCACTAGTGAGTGGGTTAGAGATTGGAAGAGCCACCTTACCTACCTTCTTCCATTACAACAACATTCGAGCGAGGAAGGAATTCACGTAATTCATCTTGATATCCGCCATGGGCATTTTCAGATGTTGGTCCTTGCAATGAAGAGGCCCAATTACAACAACAAATTTGGGATTTAAGGACGAAACAAATTTGTCCCAAAATGTATATATTTCGTCACCCAAACTAATTACGACGAACATTTTTTGTCACCCATTTTGTCTCCAAAGGGTCGTCGCTAAAGGGTCATAGAGACGAAAGAAAAAATTCGTCATTGAAAATGATAAATTTGTGACAAATTTTTTTGTCTCCAATACACTTTGTTGGGAACATACTTGTAAGTAATTAGCGACAAAATATTTTGTCATTAAAGAAGAAATTAGAGACAAAAGTATTTCGTCATAAATATAAGAAATAGAGATGAAATAATTTTGTCACGTTTAATATAAACGAAGACGAAAATTTTTTGTCAAAGAAGCTACCAATAGAGACAAAAACAAATTCATCATTAAAAATGATAAATCTGTGATGAATTTTTTTGTCTCCAATACACTCTGTGGGGAACATACTTGCAAGTAATTAGCGACAAAATATTTTGTCATTAAAGGAGAAATTAGAGACAAAAGTATTTTGTCATAAATATAAGAAATGGAGACAAAATAATTTTGTCACATTTAATATAAACGAAGACGAAAATTTTTTGTCAAAGAAGCTACCAATAGAGACAAA